AATAAGTAATTTATGTGGAAATTGAGGCCTTCCTTACAGAAGCCCTCTTTAGTCTCTAATAGATATAGACGCATATCTACCCCTTAGTTAAAGCCACAACCCTTTAACTATTACCTGTAGCTTATCTGAAACATGATAGCTACCCACAGAGGCACACATAGGTTTAGCCTAATGTAAAATCCCAACTTAAGGTTAACCTAAAACCACATAAATGCATGACACGTAGGTTTAGCCTAAAAGTAAAATCCCAACTTAAGGTTAACCTAAAACCACATAAATGCATAACATATAGCAACCGGAAAAGCACTAGCTGGAGACGACTCAACACCCACCCTCCACGATGGCCCACCTACTCGGCTAAGGCAACCAGGCTTCAACACTCTTGACCTTCTCCTCCTGGTGGTACCCATCTTCACGGTGTTCCAGTGGTCTCTTCCTGGCTCCTGCTAAGAGATCTCTACCTTTGATCCAGAGGTCCCCTTTCATCGGCAACCTTCCAGAGAGTGACTCGCAAAAGGGGGGTTCCTGAAATCAACTGTTCTTCATGGTGTTCCAGAAACTGGTTGACTCCAGATCAACCACAACAATCGTATGGAATTACCTGTGTGGATTATAATTCTTCCTTGGTGGATTACAATTCTTTGCTTCCAGTGGATTACAGACTCTGTTGTTCCTTGGATTTAAAGCTGTGCTGCAATGGGAGTTATTCACAAACATTATGGGGATCATAAAAAAAGGTTCCCTTCTATTTACTATTCGTCTTGAAGAAAAAAAAACTGAACTGAAAAGAACTCTGGCTATGGCAAGTTCTCAGTTTGGATTACCCTTGGAATTATACCATTTTTTCCTTTGGATTACTTCAAGTTCAAAGAATTTCGAGGTGCCCGTTTTCGTTGCAACTAATCACCATTTGGGGGTGATGACTTGCAAAAGGGGGTTATGTAGGGGGTCACCTCAAGTGAAGAAACAAGATTTACTGCCTCGAAGCAGGCCTCGGACAGGCCTGACGAGAGGACCGGAAC